TTCTCTATCAACAGAGAGTATGCTGATAGAGTCTATAAGATTCTCTATCCACAGAGAGTATGCTGATAGAGTCTATGAGATATAGTATCCACAGAGAGTATGCTGATAGAGTCTATGAGATTCTCTATCAACAGACAGTATGCTGATAGAGTCTATGAGATTCTCTATCAACAGACAGTATGCTGATAGAGTCTATGAGATTCTCTATCAACAGACAGTATGCTGATAGAGTCTATGAGATTCTCTATTAACAGACAATATGCTGATAGAGTCTATGAGATTCTCTATCAACAGACAGTATGCTGATAGAGTCTATGAGATTCTCTATCAACAGACAGTATGCTGATAGAGTCTATGAGATTCTCTATCAACAGACAGTATGCTGATAGAGTCTATGAGATTCTCTATCAACAGACAGTATGCTGATAGAGTCTATGAGATTCTCTATCAACAGACAGTATGCTGATAGAGTCTATGAGATTCTCTATTAACAGACAATATGCTGATAGAGTCTATGAGATTCTCTATCAACAGACAGTATGCTGATAGAGTCTATGAGATTCTCTATCAACAGACAGTATGCTGATAGAGTCTATGAGATTCTCTATCAACAGACAGTATGCTGATAGAGTCTATGAGATTCTCTATTAACAGACAATATGCTGATAGAGTCTATGAGATTCTCTATCAACAGACAGTATGCTGATAGAGTCTATGAGATTCTCTATCAACAGACAGTATGCTGATAGAGTCTATGAGATTCTCTATTAACAGACAATATGCTGATAGAGTCTATGAGTTCTCTATCAACAGACAGCAAGCAGGTACTGACAATAAGATTCTCTATCAACAGACAGCAAGCAGGTACTGACAATGAGATTCTCTATCAACAGACAGTATGCTGATAGAGTCTATGAGATTCTCTATTAACAGACAATATGCTGATAGAGTCTATGAGATTCTCTATCAACAGTCAGCAAGCAGGTACTGTCAATTAGATTCTCTTTCAACAGACATCAAGCAGCCATGTTAAAAAAAAAAAGGGCTATCAACAGACAGCAAGCAGGCATGGTCAATGAAACATGATACCAACAGGCATACAGTTACATTCAATGAGATTTTTGATCCACATACAGCCAGCAAGTGCAGACAATAATATGTTATATCAAGAGATGAGCAGACACAGTCAATGAGACAATGTATCAAAAGATAACATAGTCAATGAGAATGTATCAAAAGATAACATAGTCAATGAGACAGAGTATAAAAAAGTAACATTTGAGGTTAATTTAACTCAATATACAGCATGAACAAGTTTAAAGATGCAGTCACATAGTTCTAGACAAGTAGTATCCAACCAGAAGTGCTACATAATAAAGACCACACACAACCACAGCAAGTGAAGTGTTTGTTTTACAATAAATAGCAGACAGGAGTAGTCACCTAGTCTATAACACACATGCGCAGAAATATCACAATATCACAGCACACAGGCACAGAGATATCATAGCACACAGGCACAAGGATATCACAGCACACCGGCACAGAGATATCACAGCACACAGGCGCAAGGATATCACATCATGTCGGTGCATGGATATCAGAGCACATCGGTGCAGAGATATCACAGCACATCAGTGCAGAGATGTTACACAGCACATAGGTAAAGAGATGTTAACACAGCACATAGATGTCACATAGAACATAGGTGCATAGATGTCACACAGCACATAGGTGCAGAGATGTTACACAGCGCACAGGTACAGGGATATCACAGCACATAGATGCAGGGATATCACAGCACATCAGTGCAGAGATGTTACACAGCACATAGGTAAAGAGATGTTAACACAGCACATAGATGTCACACAGCACACAGGCTCAGATATGTCACACAGCACATAGGCACAGGGATGTCACATTGCACTTAGGTGCAGAGATGTCACACAGCACATAGCATGTGGCCAATTCAATGAGTCAAACAACATGTATGCAGGTAGATGTCGTTTTAGTCAGGGCACACCAGCACAGAGATGTCATATATCAAACATCATGTATACACATAGATGATACACAATAAACAGCACATAGACACACAGATGTCACATAACACATGGCAAAGATATGTCACATAATACACGGCACACCAGCACACAGATGTCATATATCAGACAGCACACAGATGTCATATATCAAACAGCACACAGACATTTTGATAAATCAAAGAAACCAGTCAGCAGAAAATGTCACAGGAGTATAAATAATGTACTTAAAGATGTCATAAAATAAACAGCACACTGACACAAATATCAAGACAGCACAGACATCAAGATAGCACAGACATCAAGACAGTACAGACATCAAGATAGCACAGACATCAAGATAGCACAGACATCAAGATAGCACAGACATCAAGATAGCACAGACATCAAGATAGCACAGACATCAAGATAGCACAGACATCAAGATAGCACAGACATCAAGATAGCACAGACATCAAGATAGCAAAGACATCAAGATAGCACAGACATCAAGATAGCACAGACATCAAGATAGCACAGACATCAAGACAGTACAGACATCAAGACAGTATAGACATCAAGACAGTACAGACATCAAGACAGCACATACATTAAGACAGCACAGACATCAAGATAGCACAGACATCAAGACAGTACAGACATCAGGACAGCACAGACATCAAGACAGCACATACATTAAGACAGTACAGATGTCAAAACAGCACAGACATCAAGACAGTTGGACGATTAGTGAAACATTATTTGGAAGCGGGGAAGATGTAATTTTATAGACATATGATGCGAATATCATGGGCCACACACACACAAAAATAGTAATCTTGAAAGACTCAGGAAGAGAACTGATTGCCCACATCAAAAGGAGACAATCTACAGTCTACTGTCATTTTATGGGAGGGAGAAAACTGGAATACACTGTGACGGTGGGAAAGTTGGAAGGAAAAAAGAAGCAGATAGAGAACGAGTAAGAAGATGCTAGACTGTCTGAAATCATGACACGGAAGATCACCTATGTCAGAACTAATTGATAGTGCAAGGGACAGATGGCTGTTGACGTGATACGACACTGACTGTAAGAAGAAGTCTTACACTGACTGTAAGAAGAAGGCAGAGAGAGATGACACATAAGCAAACAGTCAGTGGCTGAAGTCACTGAGAGACTATCAACATCTTCAGTAAGATTTTCTTCTTTTGGCATTCACTGACGTATAAACTCCAGCAGAAAGTTCTGGTTGTTTGTCCACTTCTGGACTTTAGTCTTGTTCCAGAATAAGAATTTGTGTGCACATCCGTTTTACAGTTCTGCTTAGCTGTTAGCATCTGTGGTTTAGCCACATTGCAAAGGCGCTTGACAATGCCAAAATGCCAGGTTCGATCCCAGATGTCGGTAATTTAGCAGTTCTATCTGTTACTAACAGTACTATCAAGACTCGACCATTCAGAAGGCAATGGCAAACTACTAAACGCACATTGCCTTGAAAAAATGAAGCAGCAAAATCAATTGCTGGGGCTGGTTTTGCAACATCCTGTAAAGGAAACGCAACTAAAATTATTTCTTTCAGTTGTACGCAGACTGTTGGTTTCTCGCCTCTTAGGCAAGACACACTGAAGACTTCGGAGGAAATCAGCAAGATAAATCTCAAACATATATGTTTTAAAAATGTGCAAACGTAAATTCGGTGGACGTGATCACACACATATTTAGACACATAGACTATAAACATCAGCCATCAATAAATATGTATAAACAAACACCAGCACAACAGTATTTTTTTTTTTTTACATTAGTAAAACTTTTGTTGTAAAATGTAATCAACATTTGTTACAAAAGGCTCAACAAAATTAATGAAACAGATTAATCAAAAAAGAACATTAGAAAATTCAATATGAGGGCTGATCATTAAGTCCCAGGACTACATTTGTGGATGGGGACAGTTAGCAAACCTAGAGGCTAGCAGCTTTTATCTCCTTCAACCTTCGCCCTGGAAATGCTTTATTTAAAAAAATTAGGAACACATGGAAACTCTTCAGAACAAAAAAATAAAATCGGTTCAAAACAAGCATTTGACACAGCTGTCTAATAATTTTATTTTAAATGTATTTATTTAAAAAAAAAAAAAATTTTTAACACCCCCCCCCCCCCCCCAATATATTAAGTGAGTATTCAAAGCCTAAATAGGATGAAGTGGTAAATGGAATACATTGCCTGCGACCTTTAAAAAATGTATCCGAATGCTTCTTCGTTCAGATGATTTAGAGCAGATCCCTCTTAAAGGGACTCTGCTGGCAAGTTATCCCTAAGCCAAGGTGGACAGTGGCTGGATGGTTACACTGGAACAGTTGGTATTATGGATGGGATGGATTCGCGTGAATTCTAGCATAAGGCTAGAGGCAAATTACAATTTTCAAAGTTCAAAACCAAAGTCCAGGAGTGGACTAACAACCAGAAATGACAGCCAAGAAGATTTTTGGCTTACATTAACTTTCAAGATGCATTTACCAGTAGGTCTACAAACTCTCTTTCTCTTTCTCCCTCTGTCTCACACACACACATGCATGCACATATGTGTGGGCAAACACACACACACACACACACATGCATGCACACATGTGTGCGCAAACACATGTACACATGTGTGGGCAAACACATGCACACATGTGTGGGAAAACACACACACACTCACATGTGTGGGCAAACACATGCACATATGTGTGGGCAAACACACACACATGCATACACATGTGTGGGCAAACACACACACATATGCATGCATACATGTGTGGGCAAACACCCACACACACACATATGCTCACATGTGTGGGCAAACACACACACATGCATACATGTGTGGGCACACACACACACACACATGCATACATGTGTGGGCACACACACACACACACACAAATGTGGTTCCAGAACGTAATAATCATTTCTCACACAAGTATGCAGTGTGGGTATCAGCTATCAGGTTCTCTATCCTTCTGTGACACTCTATCTACGATGCCCACATCCGTGTCCTGGGCTCCCACATCCGGCTGGTGTGGCTGCAATGGGGCAGCATGATGACTTTCTTCAGATCCCTGGTTAAGCACATCCAGTTCTCTCTGTTTCCAGAAGTCAGCGTTCTTCTTGATGTGTATGGTGTTGTCTGCAATGTTGGGATCTGGCTGTCCATAGTTGGGCGGGTTGGCCAGAGGGTCGTATCCAAGGGTGCGAAGCATGGGTGCTGGGGAGAGAACAGGAGGGCCAGTGAGGCAAAGGTCACCAATCACCATGCATTTTATCTTCTTCTTCTTCGCTTTCACCAGCTGTAAACTCTGACGGAAAGTTCTGGTTGTTCATCCACTTCTGATTGCAGTCCTCTTCCAGAACCTGAGTGTTGTGTGTGCATCCGTTTTACAGATCAGACTCATCTGTATGCAGACTGCTGGTTCCTTGCCTCTCAGGCAGGTTTACTCTGACTTGGAAGGAAGCTCCCAATGAGTCGACTCTCACGACATGCTTTTGGGTAGACAGTGGGTCTGTTCTTGTTTTCCCTATAACAGGGCATCAGAACCCACAAGGGAAGCATTTATCTGATTAAATAAGAATTTCCCTGAAAGACATGAAAACATTTCTGCATCATTAAGAAGTTGATTAACATGAACAATGAGCAGATTAACAAATAGTTTTGGAAATGCTCAATACAACATAAATTGTGACTTGAAAGACACACAAATACAGCTGAATGTTTCGACTAAAGTTTTTATCAACGGCGTACAACACAACACAAGCTGTGGCTGGAAAATTCAACAGACAAGAAAACAGAGCTCGTAAACAACCAAGGACAACTAGGAACCAAGAAATACGTAATAGAAACAAAATATGCACATGAAGGGCTATATCCAGGCATTTGTTGTACGTCTTTTCTATTCCCTGGTTGAGCTTTCTAGTCATATTTTATGTTGTACGGTAAAACTTTGATTAACCATCACCTGTCCAACCATAAATTTCTGTTATCCGTCGTCTTAAAAAAAAAAGTGTGATGATGATGAAGGATTATTTCTTAACTAAAAATCCACAACTAACCACTCAGAAGATAAACGATGTTACCAAAGAATATCACTGGGCAGAAAGCTCGAGCCTAAAAGATACAGATGGAGACGACAGATTATTTTTAAGTAATTTAGGTTTATAGTATAACAATTAATTTCTGTATACTACTACTCTTATACAAAAGTTTATATTGATAGTTTTGTGAAATTAAATACAATATGTACACATTATTCCCTTTTAAAGGATTTTATTTTTATTTTGGTCCCAAGCCCGCAGTGAAATCACGTTACTGTATACATGTATTAAGAGATTCTTTTCTGTGTGGGTTCCGAGACCTCATTGTGAGGAAAACAAGAATAGACCCACTGCTGAACAAAAGAATGTCATAAGAGTTGACTAACTGGAAGCTTGAAGTCGAAGTACATATGCCTGAGAGGCAGGAACCAACAGTCTGCATGCAAATGAGTCAAACCTGTGAAATGGATGTGCATGCAACACCCAGTTTCTGGAACAGGACTGGAGTCCAGCGGTGAACATGAAGAACAGGACTGGAGTCCAGCGGTGAACATGAAGAACAGGACTGGAGTCCAGCGGTGAGCATGAAGAACAGGACTGGAGTCCAGCGGTGAGCATGAAGAACAGGACTGGAGTCCAGCGGTGAACATGAAGAACAGGACTGGAGTCCAGCGGTGAGCATGAAGAACAGGACTGGAGTCCAGCGGTGAACATGAAGAACAGGACTGGAGTCCAGCGGTGAACATGAAGAACAGGACTGGAGTCCAGCGGTCAACATGAAGAACAGGACTGGAGTCCAGCGGTCAACATGAAGAACAGGACTGGAGTCCAGCGGTGAGCATGAAGAACAGGACTGGAGTCCAGCGGTGAACATGAAGAACAGGACTGGAGTCCAGCGGTGAACATGAAGAAGAAGACGAAGAAGAAACAAAAGAAGAAGAAGATTCAAAGATTTCAGTTATCTGTCTATTCTGTTATCCGGATGATGATGGTTATCAAAGTTTGACTGTATTTACACTTCTTGTCATGAGCTCAACTGCAATCACCCCCCATGTAGGTCATCAAACAGTTTTTAGAGAAAAAAGCTCACTTTTTAAAACAAAAACCTTTTTCTATGAAGCTTGTGTCCTCAGCACTCTTCTGAGTGGCAGTGGAACTTGGTCAACTTAGCTGGTGCCACAACTACAAAATAGATTTTACCAATCATCTGAACAGAACAGGTGAACCATTCTTCACTTACGCACTGGACAATGCAGACTCAACAAACAAATATAAAACCAGTATGAGCCAAACAGCTCTCTGCCAGTGTCTTTATTCTGAACAAACTCCGGAACATTTTTTTGGAAGACTGTCTTCTTCTGGAGGAGCTGTGAAGCAACATCTGACCACACTAAGTAGACGTGGCCACTAAGCTATGGGGAAATCCAAGAACCATAGATCACTGAAGAGGATAAAGTGCTAAACAGCCTTCACATGTAATGTTAAGTAGAATACTCAGTCAAAATCATAAATACTGAGGCAATGGAAGCAGTAGTTACTACAACAGTCACCTCAATGTTCAGTCTTGGAAGGCTTGAAAAGATTCACAGAATGGAGGATTCTATTCCCTAAGGACACCCTCTATGGTAAAGATGGGTAAGAATATATCAAAATCAATTTCCACAATGATATAAAGAAGTGTGCAATGTGACAAATGAGGTACAAGTATTGGGATAGAGTGTTGTGAATTCCTGCTGGTCGCTTTGACCTCTCATTTCACTGCACCCCTTTTAGGCCAATTCAAAGAATATGTCACAATAAGGATTCAAACCCATAATCACCATAATGGAAAGTATGCTATCCACGCAACTATACCAAACCCCCCCCCCCCTTTCCCCCTCCCACCAAAAGCCCACTGGTAGCTCACCTCACCGGCTTTCATAACACAACCTGCCCAGTGGTCCATATTAACCTCCTAAAGTTCCATGTGTGGGTTCCAGAGGTTCCATGTGTGGGTTCCAGAGGTTCCATGTGTGGGTTCCAGAGGTTCCATGTGTGGGTTCCAGAGGTTCCATGTGTGGGTTCCAGAGGTTCCATGTGTGGGTTCCAGAAGTTCCATGTGTGGGTTCCAGAAGTTCCATGTTTGGGTTCCAGAGGTTCCATGTGTGGGTTCCAGAAGTTCCATGTGTGGGTTCCAGAAGTCCCATTTGGGGATTCACGGGGGGTGGGAGGAGGGGTGGGAGAGGAATAGGCTCCCTGCCTCACTATCAAGAATGTCATAAAAGGCGACTAATTATGGGTTTTTCCTCTAAAGTGGGAGTGCATCTGTCGGAGAGTTGAGGGACAAACAGTCTGTACACAAATAAGCCAAATCTGTAAAACGGATGTGCACACCAAATTCAAGTTTCTGAGAGGAGCCCTGAGTCCAGAAACGTGAATGAACAAGCAGAACATTCGGTCTCCATCAGAGTGTACAGCCGCTGAGCGCTAAGAAAAAAATCTCTTGAAGTGGTCGCATTTTTTCTTGTTGCCAGTACAGCTTCAGAAAAACGGGTACCAGATAATTTCAAGAATTTTCTCTGCAGTCTAAGAAGGAAAGACGTGGAAGGGAACTGGACCGTTCATATCAAATGAGGTGATAAAGTAGGTGGTGTGAGACTGGCTAACTTATGTTGTACAAAACTGTCAATGAACAAATGCAACCAATGACGATCTATAAAGTCAGTCAGTTTTAAGAAGAGGGATAATGGAACATGCTTGTTTTCCACTGGAAAATCTGTGGAAGGAGGGATAGAGAAAGACAACGAAGGAAGATTCCTGCCAGTCTTGTTGCATGGCATGGAGGTGTGTTGGCACATGAACTGATTCTTGCTGCAGGAGATCGCAGATTATGGAGAGGCATGATCGCCCACACCAGTCGGCAAGGCACCTAATGATGATGATACAGCGTTTTGGGAGAATTAGTTGGGAGCATATGCTCTACCGGGAGATGAAAGATGAACAGAAAGTGGAGATGAGGAAGACAGGAGAAGGTGCAGAGAGAGGAGGAGATAGAGTCTGAACAGTAGAAACAAAGTGGGGAAGAAGGGAAGAAGAGCAGAAGCAGGAGGTGGAGAAGAAGACAAAAGAAAAAGAGCGGGAAAGAGAAGTCTCAAATAGGGGCCGACTTCCACACACACACACACAAAAACCACTCACCAATGACTTCCATATCATTGAGAACATCAACCGGTATGACACCAACCCACTTGGACAAGGCCTCCACGTTGACCGGCTTGATCACCTGGTCTGTAGACTTTTCCACTCTGAAAAGAAAGAAGTTATCGTTCTCAAGTGTTCTCTGTCGCTGGTATTTGTGGCGCACAGAAACGAGGTCGAAGCCTAGACTGGGAAGACCCTGAGTCGATTGCTGCTTTGCAGAAGATTCTCACCCAAATAGGGCTACAGGGTACACTTCGTGTAGTCATTCATCGTCGTCATCATCATGAGCCGCGTCAATCAGTGTTGGGCTGGGGAAATTTAACTAAGTTTATTCAGGGTCGACAATTATGAAAATGGGGGTCGTCAGGGGCCAGGATACCAAGACCTAGAATAGAAATACCTCTAATACAAGTAGCAATGAACCGCGAGCCACTTGCTAGGCCTCCGCCAGCCAGATCTGGCCCGCGGGCCGCTAGCAGAATAGGCCTAGCATAGGCGGTCATGTTTTGACATCACACATGATCATCGAAAGGAGCTGCGTGGTCTCGAGGCATGGTGTCCGCCTCGAGTGCTAGAGGTTCCGGATTCAATCCCCGGTAAGGGCTGGAATTTGTTCAAGTGGACTTGGACTTTTAGTTATTTCCCCAGGTCTGCGGACAGTGAGACTGGACGCCCGTGTGCATTGTTGCGCAAGTAAAAAAAAAAACCCATTGGCAGTTGGAAATCGAAAAGAGTAGCCTAACGGCGCTGCCCGGGAAAAATTTGGAGTTAAAAATCTACCCAAAAGTATTTCAGAATCCTCGCCGGTGCTACAGTGATGGTGCATTGTGTTGAGCTTCTTCGGACTTAGACTTGGGTTAGAAGAAAAACGGAGCACTTATAGGTTACTACCCGTGTGCCATAATGTTGATCTGTTGTTCAAACCTCAAACCTCAGAAGCCGAACCTAAAGTTTCTCCTGTTGGCTTGCCATCTAAGTTGTGACTCTTGAAGTTGTAGAAGTGGTTACACTTTCAGATTCAGGCAAACGCAGTTTCAACTTCATAGTAACCTGGTCACATCATAGTTGCTCCGTTTCTGTGCCGACGAAAACCGGAGAGAGTGTCCATCATTGTCGCTTAAAGAAAAACAAAAGGACAAAGACTACAGGCATACACAGGTTTTAAATGCTTAAGGAAACCATGAGAAGAGCCAACACAAAAGATCCTGGTATTAGAATGCAGATCAACGCCGACAGAAGTCACACATAATAAACAGATGCACAGGAAAATGAACGCATAAGGTACCGATAGTTCTCTGGCAACCGGCTACTCACTATTTTCTGAAATTGTAGTTCGTAATATAATCCACTTCAGGCGCAGTCGAAAAGCATTCCAAATGAAATCCACAACTCACAGTGTCGCGCACGGAGCTACACCCTTCTAGTCTACATACGAAGGAGAATGCAACGGCTAAATGAGTTGCTTATATTCTAAGCGTCGTCCACAACTGGAAGTGATACATGTCGACGGATGGAAAGATGGGCGGGAAAAAACATATGCCATCTTTCTTTCTCATCCCCAGTCTAGCTTTCTCATCATCCCCTCCCCACCATGAGGACTTTTTGACCATCGTATGTTTGCTAAGGGTATTCATCGGCGACCGGGTCCAGCATTGGCTGGTCGGTAGACGACTTCGTCGCCGGTCGGGATAGTATTTGGGCCTGTCTCCTTTGATCGCATTAATACTGCAAGAGTCCTTTTCAGTGCTACTCAGCAATGCTGAGCCATTTGATATGGCGCACATAGCCTAGTCACAGTTATAACCAAAAGCCCCCCTTCCCCCCTCCCAGGGATGCTGGTTGAATGTGGCGATTTTTTGATTAATTGTCTGAGCAAAGCAATGAAAGAACGCTGATGGCATTTTACTTTCACTCTATTTAACACAGGCTGGAGTGCGGATAAACAGACATACGGATAGACACACAGAAAACGATAAATATAACAGACAAAACAGGCAACAGAAAGAAGCCATGTTTCCATTTGCGGCCCCCCTACCCCAGCAAACGATCTCCCACGTCTCAGAGAAAACTCCAGCTAATGGAGCGGAATGGACCAAATGGGCAGGCAGATCAGCGGCAGTGAGCTCAGACACCGTATGGATTCTTAAAGCCGTTCGGGCGACACGTAGACTGCAGCAGTCTGGGACAACCGAAGGGGATCTAGAGACATTTATCCCTGAATATGGATAGGCTGGAAATGATTGGTGTTGTTGTGCAGTTGAATGGATGTTTGCTCTGGGTAAAGTTGCCCCTTCGTGCCATTGTCATATGAGGGAAATGGCGCTCGATGAGTCATGTGGACGGGCATCTTTACATCCTGCTTCTGCTCTTCTGTCTTTAGTTTTCTTCCTCAATTCTCAGCCTGTTTCGTTTCTTCTTCTTCTTCTTCTTCTTCCCCTCCTCCTTCTACCCCTCCTCCTTCTACTTATTCCTCCTCCTCCCCTAATCTAATACTGACCGAAATTAAACTCACACCAACTTTTTTTTATGCCTCGCTGATTTACACCCCCTCCCCACAAACCCATCTCGGTGGAGCTTCGAACTCCAAAACCTTCAGATCGGCAGGCAAGCGTCTAGCAGAGTTTCAGATGAGACGTCCCCGGATAATATTTGATGGTGCTGGCTACAGTTGAACCTGGAAGACATATTCAAACGTGCGCGCGCTCTGTCAGCAAATGTCTATCATCCTAGACGCACTTTGTCGACGATACATGCAGTGGCTTCAGTTGTTATTACTTTCAGACTGTTTACTTGGAGATTCTAATATGTGAACTGCTAATGTTGTTGACATGTAAATATATATGTAATGTTCCAGGTATTGAGAACTGTTGTTGATTTGTAAACTTGTCTGTATTGTTTAATGTATGGGTAACTGGTGTTGTTAAAATGTAAATAAATTTGTATCTGATAATAAAAAGATAAATGATATTGTTTTTTAAATGTAAATATATTTGTATATTTTGATGTAATAAGAACTATTGCTACAATTTACACATACACACACACACACACACATATATATATATATATATATATATATATATATATAATACACACACTGGGAGCCGCCATGGCCTAGCGGCTAGACGCTCGCCTGCAGATCGGAAGGTCGTGGGTTCGCTCCCTGGCGGAGCCGGACTTTTAAAAAAAAATGGCTCCCAGGTCGACCCAGCCTTGAGTGGGCACCGGATGCAGCCCTGGGAAGTTAAGGTGACCAGCGCGATGCTGACCACATCACCCACCTTGGTCTATAAAATACAGGTCTAGCCCTATATACCCAATACGCCTGAAAGGCGGTCAAAAGGGTCCTTTACTTTATATATTATAGATTATGCGTTGATTGCGGCCCTGGAACTCACACGGTCACTTCCGTTTCTTGATCTTCCTTGTATCTGTGTAACACACCGTTTCTTGGTCTTCCTTGTATCTGTGTAACACACCGTTTCTTGGTCTTCCTTGTATCTGTGTAACGCACCGTTTCTTGGTCTTCCTTGTATCTGTGTAACACACCGTTTCTTGGTCTTCCTTGTATCTGTGTAACACACCGTTTCTTTGTCTTCCTTGTATCTGTGTAACACACCATTTCTTGGTCTTCCTTGTATCTGTGTAACACACCGTTTCTTGGTCATCCTTGTATCTGTGTAACACACCGTTTCTTGGTCTTCCTTGTATCTGTGTAACACACCGATCCTTGGTCTTCCTTGTATCTGTGTAACACACCGATCCTTGGTTTTCCTTGTATCTGTGTAACACACCGTTTCTTGGTCTTCCTTGCATCTGTGTAACACACCGATCCTTGGTCTTCCTTGTATCTGTGTAACACACCGTTTCTTGGTCTTCCTTGTATCTGTGTAACACACCGTTTCTTGGTCTTCCTTGTATCTGTGTAACACACCGTAGACAAAGGATCTTACAGGTTGCTACAAACTGACAGACTGGCGATTAGCATCACATAAGAAAAGTAGACAGAGGGTGGTGGAGAAGATGCTACTAGAAGCCAGCACAGCCTTTGAGGAATATTACAGAAATATGCAGATTGGAAAAATAAAAATAATCATCTGAAATATTAGGAAAAATAGCAACGTACGTATGTGAATCGTGGAGCTTTGAGCTGAAATATGCTCTTTTATTTTATTTCACCCTATCTCGGGGACTCCGAGATTTCCTAGGGGATTCCCGGGAAAGTCTAATGGCGTAGGTATTTTAGGGTGTGAATGAACGACTTACACTAATCCAGCACACACCCCCCCCCCCTCAATATTGGGCTTTCCCAGGAATTTCCTGTGAAATCTCGGAGTCCCTGACATGGGGTGAAATATAAGAAAAGAACCCTGAAGTGCTAAAGAAACTCAGAATACCACAGAGAAAGAAAAGGAAATACTGACATTCTAAAAGAATGTGAACATCAAGGAAGATTGGCTGAAATACAGCGTCTCGTCCCGGAATGTGTATTATTTTGGCCATGTCGAGAGCCATGGAGAATTACCACACACACAAAAACTGAGCAGAAGCATGATACCAGAAAAGAGGGGCAGGAGCCGACCAACACAAAGATGGGCACAACCGACTCCTTAGATTTTTTAAGTCCACGACCATCAGTACTGGAACTCTGCGCTGGCTGCTGAAGATGAGGACAGAGCATGCACAGGAATGCGCCGAGTGCTGTGATGTCAATTGTTGACTCAACTTAACGTGCACGTAGCGGGAGAGCTAGCGAGAGACTGAGATTCTTTCGGGCAGACCGCGGTGAGAGAGATTTTCTGCAAAAGATCTGCTCCCTGATGATGATGAAAAACTTATATTTAGTAGGGGGGGGGGCGTGATTGGTCCCTTTAAATTTTTCGGAAAGTGGCGGGGGGGGGGAGGCGTGATTGGTCCCTTTAAATTTTTCGGAAAGGGGCGGGGGGGGGGGAGCTCAAGAGATCTGAGCCGTCAGATTCCAGCGCCCATGTGGCACTCATGAACTAAAATATCCACAGCCTGTCAGCATATCGATTGTTCCAAGACATTTGACAAACTGGCAGACAACCAACAAACACAGGAACTGCAAAATAAAGAGATTCTT